GGCTCTGAGTCTTTTCCTTCAGCTGGGCAGCCAGCAGTGTGGCTGCCTCCGAGGTCAGGTGGGGATGGAGGGCCTCGGAGCGCAGCTTGCTGGTGCTGGGGCTGCGGGGAGCCTCCTTGCTGTCCCCAGCACGTCTCTCCGGGTGGAAACCACCCATCTTTTTGAAGGCATTCTGGACTGCCCCATTGATATTCTCCATCTGCTCTGTGTTGGCCTTGCTCCTCTGCTTGGGCTTGGATGGTGACTGGGGCTCTGCGAGGAGAGAAGCTTTGCCCTCAGGGAAGCTTGGCTCCTTTGGATGCTTGTGCGCTTTCTCCTTGCTCCTTGTACTGCCCTTCTCGTCTGTTTTGCCGTGCACACTGGCCGAAGTCTCGCTTGGACTCCTCTTCCTCTTGGACAAGCCCTGGCCGTGCTCAGGGCTGCTGAGCTGGGCGGTGGCTCTCTCTGGGGACTGGCTGGGTGCAGGCAGCGAGTTGGACTGGTTGGAGTTGTACCTGCTGTGGATCCAGGATACTTTGGGCTTTGTGGATGGGTCAGGGGGACGGGGCTTGGTTCTCTCAGGAGAAGGTGGCTTCCCGCTCCCTCCAGGGCTCCTGGGCTCTGCGGTGCTTTCTTCCTCATCCTTGGACTGTTTGGAGAGCCGGGCAATCCTGGCATAGAGTGCTGCGCTGGCAGAGCCTGACCCGCAGGACGAGCGCTCGCTGTCAGAGGACTTGAGCAGGGGTGTTTCACTGCTGTCAGCCTGGAAAGCTTTGACAGAGCCTGTCTCCTTAAGAAAGGTGTATTCGCCCGCCTCTTCTGCACCGACTGGGGGCATCAGTTTCTCTCCTAGGCTGCAGGATGTTCCCTTGTCCTTGCTGTCACCCACACTCTCTGCAAAAGGAGAGTATGGAGCTGTTACATGGGCAGGAGGCTGGGCACCATGGTGGGCTGGCCAGGATGTCCCCGAGGAGAGGAGAGGAGGGGAAGGAAAGGGAAGGGAAGGACTGAACTGCTCTCTGCTCTCACAGCAGACCAGGAGACATGCAGGACGGTGGGGCAGAGACCAGGTTGTCCCACTCAGTCTGTCTCTGCCTTCCAAGAGGTTCATTTTGGCCTGTTTTACCTTCTGGTCCACCTCCCTGCAGCAAATATTCTGGGAGCTTGTTCAAGGACCCCAGCAGACACGAAACCTTAAAACAATACCAGTGTCTCTGGAAGAAGGACGCTCTGAAACCCCATGGGAAGCAACTGCAGAGGCTGGGGCTCAGGGATGGGGACAGGCTGGGCTCAAGTTCCCCTTCCTGGACACTAAGGCATGCTCCTGAGGAGCAGGACTGACACGTGCATGGCCCTCTCCATGCAAGGGTGACACCTCTCCTCCCTCCATCTCTCCACAGAATAGGAAATACTCCCGGAGCTCCACGGCCACCTTGGAAAGCGCCCTGTCCCTCTGCTTACCCTCATGGGGGACACAGTACACCGGCCCCTCGTCCGTAGTGTCAAATGAGGAGAAGGAGCCACGGGAAGACCAGGATGGGGAGGGCTGCTCCACCACAGAGGGTGGCTCGATGAAGCTGCAGTTCATGGTGTTCTCCAGGTCGTGGTGAGCCACTGCAAGGGCAGAGAGCTGGCTGTCAGCGAGCTGCTGCCTGCCCTGCCTGCTCTCCATTCTCTCCAGGACCCCCACGTCCACTTCATTCCACCCCCACGTCCACTTCCCTGCTAGAAGGGATGTGGGTGCTGGACAGCCCCTTTGCCCATCTTGCCTGTGGATTTCAGAAGCCTGCACAGCCCTTGGATGCAAACTGGACCAAGCCTACAGAAAGGCTATGCTAAACCCCTGGAAGAGGATACCACTCCACCTGCCACTGCTGCCTCAGGCACTTGCTGGGGTCGCAGTCCCACTCTTGCATCATCCCCACTGGAGCAACACAAGGTGGACAAAAGGTAGGCTCTGGCACCACATCCAACCCAGGACCATCTGGAAACCCCCTGTGCTGCACAGCCCCACCCAGTCTCCAAGCCCCTCTGGGAGCCCTAGACAGGTGCCCACAGTCCTGGGATGGGCTTGCAGCAAAGGCAAGCAGGCAGTGACAAAGAAGTCCTCCATGACTGAAAACAAATGCCAGTGGCCACCACAGCTCGTGTGAGCCTTACAACCATTTCCCTCTCCTCCCACCCTGGCCCTCTGTGGCTGGTCTCCAGGTGCCAGAATCAAGGATGTACATTGTGGAGAAACAAGCTATAAGAAAGCCTGGGTGCAAACATCTGGCCTGTATCAGCAGGTCTCACATCTGGTATTGAGCAAGAGAGGACATCACCAGGTCCCACAAGGACACAGAAACAGCCCTGGGATTTACCCAGGCTCAGACAACAGCGATCTGACAAGCCCGGTACAACAATTCTGCAAAGAAAGTCTCATCGTTTGAACTGTGCCTGGAGGCACAATTTTCTTCCCAGGGAAAGAAATGAGCTGCCAGTTTTAATTGCAGTAGTTTTAATTTCAAATTTATGATCTTTATTTTCTTTCTTCTTCCACAAAAGAAGGTAAAGGAAGAAATGCCTGCGGTTAGGTCTTTCAGCATCATCTTTTATCAATTCTGCTACTTTTCAATCCCTTCACCAACTTCTCCAGAAACAAAGACAAGGAGGAGCACATCCCTGCTGGCCAAGGGACTGTTTCCTCTGCAGTTGGTGGCAAAATACTGAAAAGAAAAAGCCAAGGGAAAACCACCAGAGAAGAAAAACGTGTTGTTAAAAATATTTTTTTAGTTTCAACAGTAAAAAAAGCTGAAAAAAGACAGTTGCCTGGTCTGGGGGATAGGGGGCCTGGAATTTTTGTTTGATCATTTTTAAGTATTTTCACTGAGAAAGTCTAAGTCAGGAAAAAAAAAAAAAAAACGGGGAGAATGACCAGCAGTGAAATCCTGCTCTGCCAATGCTAAACACAACCCCCATCCCAGTGCTTCCTGGTGCACTGGCACTGCCTCAGGGTTTCTGTCAGAAATGCTGCCATCACCCCTCACACATGCCCCACACTGGGACCCCAACAGATTTGGAAACACCAGCAGTCGGTGCAATACCCTGAAGCCCTGCTCTGCCTGCCTCTGCCTGAGGCCAAACCACTGAGGGTAGCAGTGAGCCGTGGCAGGATGGTGCAGGCATAAAAGCTTCCTTCCTACAGGGCATGGGACACAGAGCGTTTCCCTGCCCTACCACTGGCATGCAGCTCCACGCCTGGGGTTTGAGGCCAGTGGGAGAGCGGCATCGCCACTGGGCTGACCGAGCTAGGACGAATTTACTGGTCAGGGTCGCTGGTCCCAGCGCACTGCCAATGCGCGCTTTAGAGTGATGCAGTTGGGCGAAGGGGACGGAAAACTTTGGTGGCAGCTGCAGGGCAGACCTGAACTGACTTTTCCTGGAGAGCCCGGCACTATCAGCTGCTGAAACAGAGATGCTTTTTGTGCTCATCTCCTGATGTACAGATTTCTGCATGTTCATTTTTCTTTCTCAGCTCAGTAACTCATTAAACGTGGCCCTGAGTGCCTGTAGAACTGTGTCATTTTGCAACAAAGACACCAGAAAAGCACCGTCCCTTACTACACAGGGCACTGCACAGTGCACTGGTGGGAAGGGAAGCAACCAGCAGGTTTTCGCTGGCAGACAGCTTTATAGTAAGTCAGTATTTCCAGTTGTATATCGTATTGTTTGTACTCTCTGCCAGCACACCCAAATTCTGTCTTGATTCGGCCCATTCAAGGCCTATAGATAGCAACTGGCACAGGAGCTGGCCAAACGATGCATTGTGAGACACCATACTCCTCCCAAAAATATCACCTCTCCCATACAGGGCAGAGCAACTGCTTATCACCAAGTGGTAAGTTGTGCAGTGATTTACTGAGCAGTTGGTTGGACTTTTTGACTCTTGTAACATTTTAATGTTTTATAATAAATTAATTCTTCAAATGCTGCAAGTTGTCCAGCTAGGATGCCCAGCAGCATCATAACATTTATTGTTTATTGGAAAGTATAACTTCATAAATGTAAAGAACCAGAAGAACTATAGGGTGGTAAATGGTTCATTGAAACTACAGGAGTGATGTGTGCTTGGCCTACCCGGTTCAGGCTCTTAGAGAAGACAAAAGAGTGTGAGAAATAGCAGATGTCTGAAATATCAGATATATAAATGCAAAATAGATAAAGGCAAGGGATGCATAGCAAGAGCAATGATTTAAACCACCCACACTCCTCACTCGCATCTCAGTGAGCCATGTAGCTCAGGAGAGAGACTTGCTGTCCTCATAGAGACCCTTCTGTGTATGAAGGTGAGCAAGAGGACAAAGGAGATGACTGAATGTGTAAGAGAATAAAACTGAAACTGGTATGGCCTGAAATGAGGGAGCTTCATCAGTCAATGCCTGCTTAGCTCCAAGTACCCTGCCTTGCAGGGGCATCGCAGGACAGAAGAGATTGAGCAGGGTACCATGGATGGCTAAAGGAAAGAAGGATGCTAAAATAATGGAGTTAATGAACTTCAGAGGAGAAGCACTGAAACAAAAGTGGCTCCAATATTTAAAGAGTAAACGGCACTCAGAGTGGGGGAAGCAGTAGCTTCAACATGACTTTTCTTGCAATGAAAACCAAAAAGGAAAAATCAAAAGCAGATCATTGGAAGCAGATGAAGTGAGGTGCTTCCTGAGAGAAGGCATGACTAGGTTCTGGGACTCACAGCCATGAGGCATCTCTGAGAGAATGACAGGCTTCAGAAGAGACTAAAGAATGGGGCTTAGGAAGAAAAAGGATCTCCAGAACATCAATAGCAAGGGGGAAAGCAATACAGCTCCCATGTGGGCCCAGGAAAGAGAGAGTCCTCCTGCTCCGAGGAAGAGCCCAGCAGAACCTGGCAGGCAAGGAGGGGACAGCAAGGGACAGGGAATGGTCAGCATAGGACTGCCAGCTGCAGCAGACTTTGCTGGGTTTTTACACTGTCAGGAGCTGTGGGTTGGGGCTTGGGGGCTCTATTTCTGTGCAGTCAGGCTCCTACGTGACCTTGCTGGAAAGTGGGGCTCACTGATATTAAAAATACAGCTGGAGCAAGAAAGCACAGAAGCCGTTTGGGGAAAGGCTTGGGGCCAGCAGACCGCAGAGCACTTCTCTGCCCCTTCCACCTGTGCCCTGCCAGCTCCCCTCACCTCCGGGGAGCATGGCTGCTGCTACAGCCTCTTCTCACAAGCCAGAAACATCATGTTGTCCCAGCCCATGCGAGGAACACTGGGCGCTGGGGCAAGTCAGACAGGCCAAGGAGGGAATTGCTGCCGAGAGCCCCTGGCAGGCAGACAGGAGCCTGTTCGGAGCGGGCTAAGCTGAGAGCAGCATGGAGGAGAGTGAGGCTGAGCTCTTGGAGGAGCGCGGGCTGAGTGGTGCCAGCTCCGAGAACAGGAGGCTGCTGTGCAGAGCAGAGCCTCGAGGGACAGCGTTTCCTGTTCAGCTCCAACATCTGGCTCTGGGGGACTCGGCAGATAAATCACAAGCTGACGGGCTGGGAGAAATCTGGCCACTTCCTGTGGGCCTCTTCCCTGCCGCCGGAGCCGCCAAACACCAGCTGCACTCCCTCTGCTGAACAAAGAGCCCAGCCGCATCCGCTTTCCCTTCTGGCGGAAACCTCCCCACTTGGGACAGTGCAGATGCCACATGGATGGGGCACCCATGGACAGGACACCCAACTGCCCCCGCTCACAGCCAAGTCCAGAGCGTCAATCTGACCCAGGGCCACAAGTCCTGCTACACGCTGCTGTCTCTGACTGCACCCAGTACAAAAACTCCCTCTGCTTGCATGTCGCAGAAACACAGAGAGATTTTGCAGTGGCCAGTTTGGGGCTGGTCCAGGGAGCAGCCGAACTCAGGGTGCTGCGCAGCATCTCTGCCAACAACTCACCTGGGTGGTCGACTGTAAACTTCTACAGTATCAACTGAAAATGAGTATTGCCTTCCACGCCTCCCAAATGGCCGCATGTGAGTGGCAGGTGATATCAGCTCTAAAAATACTTCTTATGTGTCTCTGGGGACATTGACATTTGGACTCAAGACTGGCACAAAGCACTGAGAAACATGAGAAGGTAACGGGTAAGGGCTGGCCTGGTTGCACCAAAGCCCTGAGAGCAGCATGGGGGACCTCACTGGATGAGCAAGTCCTTTTGTCTGGAGGGACACCGAGGTGCACGCCGAGGAGAGGCAGGTTCCTCGTGCACTCTGATACTAGATCCTGCTGCTGCTATTTACGTCAGGACATTTTGGCAGGGAAGATGAGGTTTTGGGATTTCCTGACCTGCTCGGCCAGTGTTATGGCTGGGAGAGGCTGTTGACCCCTGTGCTCCTTGGGCAGAGGCCAGCCCAGCACTAGGGCTGGAAGGGACGCCCAGGTTGTTGCTTCACAGCCAACCTCGTGTGGCTTGGATCGCTGTGGCACACAGGTCTTGGCCTGCTTCCCCAGCACAGCTCCATTTTACTCCAAGTATGCCTTAAGGGTGCAGAAGAACCATTGCTGTTATCATCCCCTCATTTCTCCCAGATCTCCATCTCTGAGGTCCTCAAAAGTCCTGTTTCAGAGGGCTGATGTGCACAAAAGCCAGTGGATGATCCGAGGACAAAGACCCACTTTCCTGGCAGCTGGGAAACTGAATTCCTCACAAACTTCCTCCTCCTTAGGCAGGGAGTGGTCTCCTCCAGCAGAGCCACAGCACTGAGATAGAGAAGTCACTGGCCAAGACCTGAGGAGTTTTAAGTCCCCTTACTTTCTGGTCAGTCCCATCCTGCTCATCCCAAGCAAATGACAGTTCATAAAGGTTGTTCTTAACCTTGAGGTGTTTGATCTTTGCAACTTGGAAAAGAGACACTGAGGTGTGGAGCAGGAGCATGTAGGGGCCTGCGAGGAGCAGAGCACAGATTAGCCCAGGTGTCTGCAGAGCTACACACAACCAAGACCCACACAGGCATCCCAGCGCCAGTACCGCTCACATCCCCAACAAGTGAACCCTGTGAAACCCATGTACACAGGGAGACCCTAAGCACGCGCCCTTGGCACTGCGGCCACAAGCAGGCAAGAGGCTTTTCTGTGCTGGCAGCTAGGAATAGCTGGAGGTGGGTGCATGGGGAAGCAGGATGTAACTGCACTAAAATGATCTGATACTGGGGTATGGAGAGCAGATGTGCTCCTATGGCGAGGCTGGTTCCCTCTGGTCTCCCTCTCTGGCTCAATCTGGTGGGACAGCGCAGCTGGTCCTGGCCATACTCCTCCTGCATGCACTTTCTCGAACCTGAGAGTCACCACAAACAACATTTTCTGCAGCAACTCTCACTTTCCCTGCTCTGAACCCAGTAAAAGCAGGCTGTGCTGAGTCAGGAGCGGTTATAGAGCAGGTAGAAATTTGTTCAGTGACCTGAATTACCTGACTAAACAGCTAGAACCTGAAAGTGGGTTTTAATGCAGCTGAGAGCAAGGAATTAGTTCAAAAAAACCCAGGCAAAAAGGGATCTGACCAGTCTTTTATTAGCATGCTGGGTCAACACTACTAGGGGAGAGCACCTAGCTACACTGACTGCTGGCACAAGTTCAAATGGTGCAAACTGGCCAAGGACCTGCTACAAATCTGAGGCCAGTGCTGAAGTTGTGAAGCAGCTTTCTGACTACTGTGGCAAGGGTGTAAGCCCTGCTTTTTATAACAGGAAGTGGATTATACGATTTGGAGATAATAAGAGCAACGTCTGGCGAATTGACGAAGAGGTATTCCCAACCTGGGCTTTCTGCTGCCCAGTAAGTCACCTACAGCTACAGGACAAGCTTCAGTGGGGCTTAGAAAAATGTTACTGCTCCTGAGGCAGTTCTTTCACATGTGCATTTGTGGTTGCAGATGGTAATTAGCAGAGCAATCGCATTCAACCTCAGAACAGGAAAACCTGTCCAGCTCAGAGTGCTAGGAATTACAAGGTAAGGACAGTGCTCTCCAAACGTGAGCAGAGCAAGGGACATCCATCTACCAGACGTCACTGGCTTCAAACAGCACTGGTTTCACTCCAGAATCCCCATAGCGTGCTGGGCATAGCATCTAGGTCAGCTCCAGCGCTGACCTGGCACTCATGGCGGGGGGTGCGGGACAAAGCCTTCCAGCAATCCTACAGACTTTCCTGTCCTGTGTTTCCCTCTAGGGCCATTTCAGGGTCAAAGACCCACAGAGAACATGAGGACTGCTATGGAGTAACACCTGCTTTGACTTCCGAATGCACTAGATTTCCAGGTGGAGTTATGCAGTGGCACCTTAGTCACAGGTGTCAAAGGGACACAGAAGCCACTGACACCATCCCAGCATGTTTTCCTTGCTCCGGCGATCCCCAGACACTCTCAGGAGGAGGCAGGTTGATATATCACCCAGTCTGCCTGCTGGAGGGGCCAGGCGCTCCCAAAGCTGGCTTTGGTTCTGCCTCTCCATCCCCATGTTGCCAGGCATGGGCACCCTCCATGCTGCACGGGGTGGAGGCCAGCCTCCAGCCTGCCTCTCGCACTGGATAATAATAAGAACACATGGCGCTGCATGGGCCAAGGCAAACAAAAGCAGCCTGTGACCAAAGCATTTCATTCCAGTGAAATAACAGCCCCCAGCCCCAGCAACACAAACAGGCTGCAGGGCCTCTCGCCCAGCCAAGCACGCGCATTGCAGTGTGGCTCTCCTTCCCGAGGAGCCTCGGCCGAATGGCACCCTGGCCCCCTACTCTGCTGGGCCTCCCGCTGAGCACCTGTGCTGGGCTTCGAGAGCATCCTGAGCACTTCCCCAACCCTGCGCTGGCACAGGCTCCTCAGCCCAGAGGAAGCTGAGGCTTAGCTGTGAGGGGCAGCCTTTCATGGAGCCAGGACTGGGGCCATGGGGGCTGTTGTTGCCCATCTCCCTGTTTACACAGAGCAGCTGGGTGGGAGCCAGCTGCCTTCGGGCCGCTCCAGGAAACGTGCGCACACAGCCCCATTCAGTCCCAGCCAGCACTACCCCCACCCAGCCCTGCCACACACAGGGACCCTCTATCTTCCCCGAGCCCTGCCCGGCTGCTTCCATAAACACGGCCTCTGTTATCATTGCAGCAGGA